ATTGGACATAACACTTTTTCTTCCATCCCGTTGGCTAGAACTTAGTGACCTTGCTTTATCTAGCTGCAAGACAAAGTCATCTTTCCATACAGCCATGTGTTAGCTAACAGTTGGGAATTCTGTTACTCTAGGAGAATGGATAACTAATACTCTCTGCCAAAGTACTCATTAAATTTTCTGTTTCTTCTGTAAAGCTGAATCAGATCTTTTAATTTTTGAGGTCAGAAACGATACTCCAGTTGAACCAGGAGGGGTCACTGTTGAGCGAGTGCTTTCTTTGTTATTTCCTTTGTTAAACCTACCTGCCATTACAATTCTCAGCTATATAATTTATAGAAAAACAATTACAGTTTAATACAAAGCAACAAAACACATCACTTAGATTTTTTAAAACCTGAATATTTAAGAATGTCCTATCCCTAGGTAAATGCTGTTGCAGTGTTTGCTTGCTCAGGGGATGGTTTCCTCCCTTGAAACAATTAATAGAGAACAACCTAGTTGCTCTCATGTTCTTCCCATGACCACGTCCTTGTACTTGTTTGTGGATAGATTATAAAAAATACGTAATAAATATATTCCTGTGTTAATATGAAACCAGATTACCTAAGAATGTCACATGTTTGAACAGTCACTTCCTCTACAACAATTATATCTAAAATCTTTCACAAGTTTGTTGTAGTTCATTATATCCTGGACCTAATTGGTTTTGACAACCTTTATATTTTGCATGAAAAACCAAAGTTTGGATTCAGCTGAAATAGTAAAATACCTAAAACATATATTCTGTTGCTTCTATGAAACGTTTATTTTACCAGCAATGCCATGAACTGGAGAGGAAGCCATATGGGTTTCCTAGAAAACATTTAAAAATATCGTGTCTACCTCTAGGATTATTTTCTAACCTCCAGTGTTATGTCACTTCAAATAATGAAATATTCTGTTTATTTATACAACTGTAATTCATTCTGTCTTTTTTTTTTTAAGATTTTATTTATTTATTTGACAGAGAGAGACACAGCGAGAGAGGGAACACAAGCAGGGGGAGTGGGAGAGGGAGAAGCAGGCTCCCCACTGAGCAAGGAGCCCGATGCAGGGCTCAATCCCAGGACCCTGGGATCATGACCTGAGCCGAAGGCAGACTCTTAACGACTGAGCCACCCAGGCACCCCTTGTTTTTTTCTTTAAGTAGGCTCCACACCCAGCATGGAGCCCAACGTAGGGCTCGATCTCACGACACTGAGATCAAGACCAGAGCTGAAATCCTGAATTGGATGTTTAAGCAACTGAGCCACCCAGGCACGCCCAGAACTGTCATTTCTTAAATCCTGAGATTTGCAGTCCGCTTCATCTGGTCCATTGGTTCTCACACTTTAGAAAGCATGGGCGTCACGTGAAGGGCTTCTTATACTACAGATTGCCCTTTCTCTCCACCTCCTCCTCACCCCATTTTTGATACTGTAGGTCTGGGGTACAGCCCAAGAATTTGCAGTTCTGATGAAGGTCCCACTTGATTCTGATGCTACTGGTCAGATGACCACAGGTTTTGAACCACTGATCTTACCCTTTCTTGGAACTTGGAGTAGAATATATATGTGCAGAAGGGAGAGGAGAGATAGGTAAATCTGGACAGATGTCCTATAAGCCTGGTGTTTTCCAAATCCTCCTGGGACACTGTCTATTCCTTTTTCCCTTCATTTCATGCTCCCATAGAGACAATACCATTCAGTCTTTTTTTTTTTTTTTTTTAAGATTTATGCATTTGAGAGAGAGCATGTGCTCACATGCGCGGTGAAGGAGGGGCAAACAAGCAGACCCCGCAGGGAGCCCATCCTGGGTTTGATCCCAGGACCTGGGGATCCATGACCTGAGCTGAAGTAAAACCATTCAGTCTATATAGACTGATGCAAGGAAAGAAATTAGTTGTTGGGTGTGATTTTTGTTCCTTTTTATCTCTAGAGTTATAAAGTCATGTGAATGACGTATGGCAGGTTTATATTTTTTAACAATTTAATTACTGTGTATATTCAAGTGAGCAAAGTGCCATATGAGGTGAGATGTGTAGCATTTAATAAATATATGTTGAATATACAAGATAAAGAGATTAGCATTTCTAATATATAAATGATTGTCCTTTTGTGAATTTGAGTTGGGCAGAGTCTAGTAGATTGGGTGTTGAGTGAGTCTATCTTGTACATAAAAAAATTTTTTTCCAAAGATCTTAAGATATATGTTGTGTGCTATATAACGCTGAAAAGTCTCCCAGATCTCTATTTTTGATACTTTAGTTTTCTTTGCTAGACATTGTTATGTATGTCATCAATTCTTGATTATTCAGCTTTTTAAATGGGTTATAATTCCCCCAAGTGGTCTTTTCTGTAAGTGTACCTGGAGAGGAGTGATCATGGTGTAGCATCTTAGAAACTGTATCATTTGAGAAGAACTTAAACTTGTTTAGGAGGAAATACGATGGCTTCATTTTGAAAGACTGCCTTGTAGAAGAAGGATATGTTGGGGCGCCTGGGTGGCTCAGATGGTTAAGCGTCTGCCTTCGGCTCAGGTCATGATCCCAGGGTCCTGGGATCGAGCCCC